CCCAAAAAACACCCCAAAAACACCCAAAAACACCCAAAAACACCCCAAAAACACCCAAAAAACACCCAAAAACCTCTGGAATTTGGGATTTTGGTGTCTCAGGGCTGCGTGAGCTGGATCCCGAACACCTCGGCCGCGTCGCCGCGGTGCCGGTGCAGACAGGCGGCCTCGGAGGAACCCTCGGCGTCGCGCACGTTGTACTCGCCCTTCTTGCACGCCGTGGTTTTCAGGTAATAACCGCCGGCCGCCGCCAGCGCCAGCGACACCGCGACAGCCAGAGCTCCCAGCGCCGCCAGCACCGCCAGCCAGCTCTCTGCGGGGAAACGGTGACGGTGACACCGGGAAACGGCGCCGGGGACCGCCGGTGACACCGGGAAATGACACCGGGAACTACCGGGAAATGGCACCGGTGACACCGGGAAACAGCGCCGGGAACCGCCGGTGACACCGGGGACAGCACCAGTGACACCAAGTAAAGCACCAGTGACCCTGAGTAAAGCCCCGGTGACACCGAAGAACCACCGGTGACACCGGGAAAAACCCAGGTGACACCGGGAATGGCACCAGTGGCACCGGGAACAGCCCCAGTGGCACCAAGGAACCGCCGGTGACACCGAGTAAAGCCCTGGTGACACCGGGAACAGCACCGGTAACACCAGGAAAGGCACCGGTGACACCAGGAAAAACCCTGGTGACACCAAGGAACCGCCGGTGACACCGCGAACAACCCCAGTGACCCTGAGTAAAGCACCGGTGACACCAAAGAACCACCGGTGACACCGAGAACAGCACCAGTGACACCGAGTAAAGCACCGGTGACACCAAGGAACCACCGGTGACACCGCGAACAACCCCAGTGACACAGCCAACAGCCCCGGTGACACCATGAACAGCCCCAGTGACACCAAGGAACCACCGGTGACACCAAGGAACCACCAGTGACACTGAGAACAGCACCAGTGACACCGAGTAAAGCCCTGGTGACACCAAGGAACCACCGGTGACACCGAGAACAGCACCAGTGACACCATGAACAGCCCCGGTGACACCATGAACAGCCCCAGTGACACTGCCAACAGCCCTGGTGACACCGTGAACAGCCCCGGTGACACTGCCAACAGCCCCGGTGACACCATGAACAGCCCCGGTGACACCATGAACAGCCCTGGTGACACTGCCAACAGCCCCGGTGACACCATGAACAGCCCCAGTGACACCATGAACAGCCCCGGTGACACCGTGAACAGCCCCGGTGACACCGGGCACCCTCCCCTCCCACCCCTCTCCTCACCGTCCACCCTGACCACCACGCTGGCGGCTGTGCGGCCGTGCCGGTTGCTCGCCGTGCAGGTGTACACTCCCCGGTTGGCCGCCGTGGCTCCGGTCACCGTCACCGAGCGGTTGTCGGGGCCCAGGCGCAGATTTGGGGCGGGGGGCAGCGCCCAGCTGAAGGTGGGAGCCGGGACCCCCTCGGCACCGCAGTTCACCGTGAAACCGCTGCCTCGGGTGATGTTGGCCGAGGGTAAAACTCGCAGGGTGACACCGGCGGGGCCGTCTGGTGACGAAAACAATCAGGAGTGACCCCAAATCCCGGGGTTTTCACCCCAAAGTAATAAATTAAAGCTCGCCCCCCACTCACACTCCACGGCCACGGTGATGTTGCGGACGGCGGAGCCGTGAGCGTTGCTGGCCCGGCACTGGTAGGTACCGGCGTGGGCTCGGGTGACGTTTGGGGGGTCTCGGGGGTCTCCCAGCTCGGTGGAGTTTTGGGGGTCTCGGGGGTCCCGCAGTTTGGAGCAGCTGACGAGGGGAGGGGGGTTCCCGCTGGCGGCGCAGCCCAGCTGGGCCGGGGTCCCCTCCAGCCACAGGCGCCGCTCGGGGCAGCCGCGCTCGGCGATGCTGGGGCGGTCTGGGAATTGGGGAGGGGGGAACGGTGAGACCACCCCGGTACCGAGCGGGATGGAGCTCGGGGGTCTCCCCTCCCGCCCCGGTACCGAGCGGGGTGGAGCTCGGGGGTCTCCCCTCCCACCCCGGTACCCGCCGGGTTCTGTCTCATCCCCGCTCCGTCCGTGCCGGGAGCTGGAATTCCCGGTGTGGATGTGACCCGCAAGACACCCCCGGTGTCCCCTCCCCCCCGGCGTCCCCTCCCCCCCCCCCCCC